TCCTCTCTCCAAATACATTTCAACAGGTCCCATCATTCCTTTTACTTATTGTTTTGGATATATAGTGCATATAGTTGGAAAAAATCATAATCCTTGGTTCATAATGCACCACCAATGGTTTGTGCATGATTCTCTTATCAATTAATTCATTCATGTATTTACTTTTAATGACAAATGAACCCAGGGACTAGGGAATGTTAATCACTTACTCATACATTTGCTCCTCCCAGTTCTCTTCTCTCACCTCCCTCACATCCAGAGGTAATCCCATCCTGAACTTTATCACTACCTTGTTCTTTTAAAATAGTTAAAAAAAAAAAATATATATATATATATATATATATATATGTTAAACAATTTTTCAGTTTAGTTTTTGAGAAAAGTATTATGTCATATAGTCTTCTGAGAGTTGCTTTTTCACTCGATCTGTGTTGTTATTGTGCTGCATGTAGCCAATCAATGTTCATTCATTTTGCCAGCCATTAATAGTCCATTATGTAAGCACTCAACACTTTACCCTCCCTATCGATGGGCATTTGGATTTTTTCCAGAACATTCTTGTACATGTATTCTGGGGCACTTTGTGCAAGTATTTCTCTTGACTATATGCTTATAAGTGGAACTGCTTTTCAACTTTCAAATGAATCGTTTTTCACAGTGACAATAGCAATTGGCACTCCCATCTGCAATGTACTTGGATGAGTAATTCTATTGATTGAAATTCTTTCCAAAACTTGACTTTGTTGGACTTCATTTTTACCAGTTAAATGACAGTTCAACATGTCATTGTAGTCTTTTCATTTCTCTGATTAACAGACATTAAAATCTCAATATATTGGCCCAAATGCATTTCCATTTCTGAGGAGGACCTGTTTCAGTCTTTTGCCCATTTTTCTGTCAGGTTGACTGTCTTTTTCTTGTTGATTTGTAGAATTTCTGTATATATTCCTGAAACTATTACTGGCTATAAGTTTTGCAAATATCTTCTCATAGTTTGTAGTTTAGTTTTAATCTTTTAATGGACAGAAGTTCTAAAATCACAATTTAAACACAGCACTTTTATAATTCTTTTATGGTTTCTTTTGCTTCCAGTTTAAGTAGGATCAGGAAGATACGCACCTGTATTTTTGCAATACATTTCACCTATAATTTCAACTCTATTTTCTACATCAGAAGTTTTAAAGTTGCAGGTTATTTAAGAGTTGTTTTTTGTGTGTGGTGTGAAGAGATCTAATTTTTTAAATTTCTCTTGTCAGCTCCATTTAATTAATAGTTTGATCATTGATCTATCATGCCTTCTCTGTCAACATGAAATTTACACATATGTATGGGTCTGCTTTGGGGCTCTCTATTCTGCTCTATTGGCCATTTTGTTTGTTTTAGCATGAATGTCACATTCTCTTAAATACTTGAGCCTCACAAAAAGCCCTTCTAGGGCTGGCCGTGTGGCTCTGTTGGTTAAGAGCTCACTCAAGAGTGCAAGCTCTGATCCACAGGGTCGCCGGTTCAATTCCTGGCCTGAGCTGATGGCTCAGCTAAAAAATGAATTCATTTAATCTTAAAAAAAAAAAAAGCCCTTCTAGTAGGATAAATTCTCCCTCCTTTTCCTTCCAAAGTGCCCTTGTCATTCTTCATCCTTTACTCTGTCACATAAAAATTTCAAATCAGTTTGTCAACTCCAGGAGAAATGTTAGGACTTAGTTTGGAAATGCATTAAATCTAAATATCAATTTGGAGAGAGAAACAATCCAAGATGGCAGAGTAGATAAATGTTGTGCTTGGCTCATCCCATGAATATATCAAAATTACAACTAAATTATAGAACAATCAACCTGGAGAACCATCTGAAGTCTAGGTGAACAGAAGTTTTATAACTAAAGATACAAAGTCGTGTTGAGACTGGTAGGAGGGGTGGAGACACACAACAGGCTGGCCACAAACATCTGTGTGGCAGATAAAAATTGGGAGGGATATCTCAGCCACGGAAGTTCCCCACAGAGGAGCAAAGGACCCCAGTCTCCCACCAGGCTTCCAGGAGTACTGGTGCCAGGAAAGGACCGCCCACAACATCTGGCTCTGAAAAACAGTGGGGATTCCAACCATCCAAGTGGGACAGAAGGCTGCCAGAAACCCAGACAGCCTCTTAAAAGGGCCCACACACAGACTCTCTCACTCCCAGGCACTCACCTTGGGCTCCAGTGGAGGGACGGTGACTCACAGAGCGTCAGAAGCATACGGGGCATAGACTGAGGTGTGTAGCCTTGTGGGGCAGCCTGGAGGACAGTCAGCATTTTTCCAGTAGGTCTTCCTCCCCTGCAGCCAGCAGATGGGCACCATCTTTCCTGTCCCCTACAGTTTCATCCCCTACAATTTCGGCCAAATCTGAATCTGATTGGCCTGGTGAGATCGGCTGCTCTGCCCTGGGGACTCACTGAGACCCCACCACACCCAACTCGGTATTGCAGGTTTTATCTACTCTGAACCTTACAGGAGCCAGCAACCGGCAGCAGGCGACACCAGGCCTGTTTGTCCTGGCTTTTTGCAGAGCTACCCTAGACCTAGTACTGGTGCCGGCTCCGTCCTCAGTTCACAGTGCGGTCTCTCCCACACACCTTCAGGTCCAGCACAGTAAGCAACCAACCGTGGATCGCTTTGTAGCTCCTACCAAATAGATCCCGACCAGTCAGAGGCAGTGGCTGACCTGAAACTGCACCGGAGCCCCTTCCAAGAGGCCCAAGATCCAACATACTTGGAGGTTAGCTTCAGACCACAGCAGAGCACCACCCAATTAGCCCCACAGGTGGCAGACACAAAAGGTGGTCCCAACAGGCACCAGGACCCACTGGGGCGAATCCTGCTCCATGTGGTAAGCTCCACCCACCCTCACAGCCGCCCATAAATTGTGGATGTGGCCAAACCCCACAGCCAGTCAGCCTGAGATTAACCCCACCCACTGACATGGCAACAGCAATCAAGGCTCAACTATAACAGAAGGGCACACAAAACCTACACAAGGGACACGCCTAGAGCACCCAGAGCAGGTGACCAGGGACTGTGCGAGGGCCCCACAGGGCACCTACTACAAAAGACCACCTGGCAAGGCCGGTAGCAGAGCTATCTAACACAAAGAAACATAGAGGCAATCAAAATGAAGAAACAAAAAAATACATCCCAAATGAAAGAATATGAGAAAACTCCGGAAAAAGAACTAAAGAAAATGAAAGCAAGCAACTTACTAGATACAGAGTTCAAAACACTGGTTGTAAGGATGCTCAAAAAACTCAGTGAGAACTTCAACAAGCATAAAAAAAGACATAGAAACCATAAAAAAGAATCAGTCAGAAGTGAAAAATACCACAACTGAAATGAAGATTGCACTAGAATGACCAGCAGACTAGATAAGGCAGAGGATCAAATCAACGATTTGGAAGACAAGGTAGCAGAAAATACCCAATCAGAATAGCAAAAGAAAAAAAGAATTTAAAAAAATGAGGATAGTTTAAGAGACCTCTGGGACAATATCAAACGTTAACAACATTAGCATCATAGAGGCACCAGAAGGAGAAGGGAGAAAGCAGGGATTGAGAACCTATTTGAAGAAATAATGACTGAAAACTTTCCTAACCTGGCAGAAGAACTAGACATACAAGCCCAGGAAGCACAGAGCATCCCAAACAAGATGAACCCAAAGAGGCCCACACTAAGACACATTATAAGTATAATGCAAAAGTTAAAGACAAAGAGAGAATCCTAAAAGCAGCAAGAGAAAGGCAACTAGTACTTATAAGAGAGCTCCAATAAGACTGTCAGCTGATTTCTCAACAGAAACTTTGCAGGACAGAAGGGATTGGAACAAAATTTTCAAGGTGATGAAAACCAAGGACCTACAACCAAGATTACTCTACCCAACAGGGCTATCATTTAGAATCAAAGGACAAATAAAGAACTTCCCAGACAAGAAACAGCTAAAAGAGTTCATCAACACCAAACCAGTAATACAAGGAATGTTACGAGGACTTAAGATTAAAAAAAATCAAAAATATGAATAAGAAAATGGCAAGTTACATATCTATCAACAATTACTTTAAATGTAAATGGATTAAATGATCCAATCAAAAGACATAGGAGGGCTGAATGGATTAGAAAACAAGGTCCTTATAGGCTGCCTCCAAGAAACTCACTTCAGATTGAAAGACAGACTTAGAAAGTAAAGGGATGGAAAAAGATATTTCATGAAAATGGAAAAGCAAAAAAAGCTGGAGTAGTAATACCTATACCAGATAAAATAGACTTTAAAACAAAGGCTACGACAAGAGACAAAGAAGGACCCGGTTCTGGGTATTTATCTGAAGAAACCCAAACTGCTACTTCGAGGGGATGTGTGCATCCATATGTTCACTGCAGCACTGTTTACAATGGCCAAGATGTGGAGGCAGCCTGGAGTGTCCAAGGATGGAAGAACAGATAAATAGGAGGTGGTAAATATATACTCGTATATTAGAATCCCATAATCAAAACCTTAAGAGTGATTAAGATGTATAGAAAAAATATTTAAAGTTTTAAAACAGTAAGAAAGTCTACTTGTTTCGGAAATGTGTATACGTAAGTAGGAAACATTTGAAAGCTAAAAGGCTATTCTTCAAAAATATTTACAGTAACTTTCTGTAGGCGGAGAGATTGAGGTGATTTCTCATTTCTTCTTTTTGCTTTTCTACACTTACTATATTTCAACCATGAAACTCTTTATAAATAACTTTAATAAATAGTTCTCTACATGATGTCAGTTTTACAATTTGGAACTTAGAGATCAAGTGGTTCTATGATCAGTGTATACTTTGTATGTACCCTTCTTTCAACCCACACCCCTTCAAAACTTTGCACACACATCAAACTCCTTATTTATCTTTATATCCTTTCAATGCCTAGTACAGTGCTCAACATATCTACAGTATGAATATATTACATCAAGATGTTAAAGAATGCATCTCTGGGATAAAATGTGACTGTCCTCTATTTATTATATTTAATTAATCACCATAATACAGGGATTCTTTAAATTACAAAGGACAGAATGATTAAAACAGTAACTTTCAAACTTTTCCGCAGAAATCTTTAAGTAAAATCTTGTTTTGAATCCCAATATATAAAAGACAAAAACAGAGCCATTCAAGTGGAGGGACTAAAGCTGATTTGTCCACTCAGCCTTCTTCCTTGACTCTCATAGGCTGCTGTGCAGTTTGGAAACTACAATTCAATACATTCAACTGACCCCATATGCTATGTCAGAGCTAGAAGAGAAAGCAAAAACACATTCAATCTAACATTTATTTATTTAGCTTTTGTTTCCTGCAACTATAAATTACAATCACTAGTACACCTGTAATTCTTTATAGTGTGCTCAACTAAAGAATAAGCAAACACAGCATAGGTCAGTTTAAAAGAAATCACAGTACTTCTTAGTGTAATTTGCAAAAGAGGGAAAAAGTCTTGGGCCCACTCCTTGGAAATAAATATCAAGTAACAACAAAAATATTCAGCCATTTTCCAGATATTCAGGGAGGTTCATGCATGGTCCCAGGTAGAGCATCAGAGTTCCTCTTTGAAATATCCCAGCTTTGCCAATGACATCTCTTTTCTCAACTGCATAACTTCCCAAAACATCTGATCAACTATACAAACAGAAAAGAGAGACACATGAATCACAAAGTACCATCGTAAGTATTTTTAATCTGTTTCACTGAACATTGAAGATTAACTGAAACGCCAACTGGCATTTCCTAATGACATGCCTAATACCTAGAATTCTATCGCTATTTCACACCAACTTTTTCATATTCTTGTAAGTATCCCAGTTTTATCAATAAAGAAGGAATATTCACCAATTTGCCACAACTACTTGTTAGATACATCAATGACTATCACTTTAGCCAAACAGAAGGTAGACATTTCAGTGTCCCGAGTAAATGCTGTTGCCATCATAAGTAATTACACTCAATGCTCAATTATGCAAGAGTTATTATTTAACTTCTGGGTCTTCGTGCTCTAGTTTGCTGTATCTTGGCCATTTCACTCTTCATTAACACGAAAAGAGAGTGAAAAGGACAACAAGAAACAGTCCGGAGAACTCAGTAACATTCCTTGTGCCTAATAACAGGGAAAGTTTTGTATATGGCTCAAATTAGAAATAAAAATAAATGTAGAGGATGAACTGTAAATTTCAATTATCTCTACTTTTGTGAGCCCCCTCTGTAAGTAGAAAAAAGATGGCTCTATATTTCATACAATAAAAGGTCTACATCTGACATATAATCAGATTAGACTGATTTAGATCAGTGGTTCTCAACCAGGGGAGATTTTGTCCCCAAGGGTTCACTTGGCGATGTCTGGGTACACGTTTCATTACTGGCATCTAGTGAGTAAAGCCCAGGGATGCTGTCAAGCATCTCACAATGCACAAGATAGGCCCCCACAACAAAGAATGACCCAGCTCAAAACGTTAACAGTACCAACGTTGAGAAACCTTGCTTTAGATTTACCTGCCCTAAATTCTTTTGGCACAGGCACAGGTAACAACAGGTGTTAACATTAATAATATTTATTTACTACAAACCCACATAGTATATTATGTGTATCAAATACTGTCAAGTGGAAGAGTGATGGAAACCAGGGAAGAAATCACTTTTATCACCATCATTTCCCCAATACTCATGACACTATCTTCCTATTTTCATAAATTATCTTTCAGCCTTCCCTATGGAAACTTATTATTTTAATAAGGAGGAAAAATATGCTTGGCACATTAACATAACATAAATCATGTTTTCCAGCCTAAGTTATATTATCCACCAACAGGATTCAAAAAAAGACAATTTTATTAGTCATAAAAGGTATTGTACAGTTTAAAGACTACTTGTATGCTACACAGCTTTTTGAAATTCCACATTAATTAAAGACAGGTTTCACCTTTATTCTTTTAGGTAATAAAATATAATTATATGGGCTTCTACATTAATATGACTGTTTGTAACATACCAGAGCTTGAGAAATGCTAAACTTAAGTTTTTATGGGCATGACTAATTTTTCCACAGAATTAAGCTTCACTGATTTACATGATTGAAAGACAGTGGTTTTTAAGTATAAGAATATTTTCAAAAATATATATAATAAAGAAAATTTTCCACAACTTCAAATACAAAACTGGTATGGACTTGTCCCTAGCCCAGTATCAGTTATTTCTGTTTTGAAACAATCATGTGTCCTCAGGAAGCACTGCTTTAAAGCTGTCCGGCCATAGTCCTGGTGTTTAAGACATTCGGCTATAATAGCCAAGATTTGGAAACAACCTAAGTGACCATCAACGGATGAATGGATAAAGAAGAGGAGGTACATATATACAATGGAGTATTACTCAGCCATAAAAAAGAATGAAATCCTGCCATCTGCAACAACATGGATGGACCTAGAGAGTATTATGCTAAGTGAAATAAGTCAGGCAGAGAAAGACAAAATACCATATTTCACTTATATGTGGAATCTAAGAAACCAAATAAACAAGCAAAACAAAAACAAACTCGCAGATACAGAGAACATTTTCATGGCTGCCAGATAGGTGAAAAAGAGGAAGGGATTAAGAAGTACAAGTTGGTAGTTGCAAAACAGTCATGGAGATGTAAAGTACACATAGGGAATATAGTCAATAATATTGTAATAACTATATATAGTGTCAGGTGGGTGCTAGACTTACGGGGTAATCACTTTGTGGGTTTTATAAATGGCTAATCACTATGTTGTATGCCTGAAACTAACATAACACTATGTGTCAACTGTAATTGAAAAATAAAAAATTACTAAAAAAAGATATCTGGCTATAAACACATCAGTAATCACGAAAAACTATATTAAAAAAATATTAAAACACTTGCATGAGGTTGGCTCTCCTGGATATATCATGTGCATGTTTCCGCTAATTTAGAATATAGTAATCTGTATTCCATTCAGAATTACCCTCATGACTACTTTATTAATTCACACGTGAAAGTAGAAAATACAGAAAAAAAATGTTAGCTCCTCGTGGTTTCCACCAGTTAAAATAAATCTGACCATGTTTAGAGCTCGCTCATTTGTATCTTTCAAGGAGTAAATTCAATGAGCTTTGCACTCCCTTTACACTTCCTATCTGGTTTACTTCTTAAGAGTTAAAACTCATTCTGCTTAAAACTCAAAATTAGAGTAAAATGAGGCAAACATAAGGATTAAACACAATATGCTTTAAAAGAAACATTTGTTCTCAAATTCTCTACACACTTTATTAGAACTATTAAGAGACTCGATATAAATACACCAATAATAAAGTTTATTTGAGCATTACTACTATGACCTATACTTTTTACTGAAATTTTATGTAAATGTTTTGTAACAAATTAGAAACACTCACCATCCTGCTGTTTCACAAGTCCCTGCTGAATATATCGAATGTATGTAAAAAAGTTACATACAGAAGTGATCTAGGCCAAAAGAAAAAAAAAAGTCATAAAATATCAAATGTCTCATATAAAAAAGTGAGCTTTATTAAAATTCATGGTTAAGTTACTTACCCTGTACCTACAAAAAGGAGAAATATAATAATAGTTGCTTGAGTCCCCTAATTTAATTCTGTGTTTACAGGACTTACTCTGGCCAGTGAGAGCACATTTTCTGTAAAATAATAACACATTTTAGTTTTTTTTAAATTAAAAGCATTTTGCCCCTACCTTCTGTGCAAGCTGTATATTCATTAAGAACAAATATTTGAGAACCTACTAAGTACCTAGCACTGTTCTAGATGCTGGGCTATCATGATGAAAACGACCAAGTCCGCCCCCATTTTGGGATTTACATTCTAGTATAAGCTTAATAGCATTACATTAACCATGGTTCTAGAAATAGAAACTAAATGTTTTAAATGTATGTCCTATCCTGGAGCAAATTTACAAATGAGTAATCCGATACAGGACAGCTCTCAGCTTTCCATCAGGACTCCAACTTCTTCCTCAGTTGGGAAAAAAACCTAATGATGACTCAAGTCTCAAAACATGCTATTGAAAGCTTGTAGGATAACAGCTCCCAGATTGGGTACTTTCTGGTGTGCTTGGTTGGTTTCTATGCATTTAATGTGGTACCTAAAGCCTGAGTGAGAAATACAAAAGAATGACTCACAAAAATACTGAATATTAACAATTATATAAAGGGTACACTACATTTAGACATACCATCCTGTCTACCTATTTACATACTATAAAGTCTAAAATTTGCCGTCAGGGCTTTCCGGTTGGAATTAGGCTGTAAGCCTCTTGAAGGCAGGGACTGGATGTTACTCATCTTTAAATGCCTGGCACCAAGCAAGTTCCTGGGACACGGCAGATATTCAATGGCTGTTGGTTAAGTGGTGGACCTCCTGTCACTCACTCTACTGCTTAATAGGATGTAGTTTGTCTGTCTATCAGGTTGGACTTGCAGCAGTCCCGCTATCACCCTAGGAAGCTAGGAGCTTGGTTGAATACAACTACCACTCCCTGTATCAATGCAAAATTAGTGTAGCTCTAAGTAAAATAAAGTGGCCAATAGCATTTTATATAACATTATAAATTATAAAGAAAAATACATTAAATGAACAATAAATTTCAGCTATATTTACAAAAAATATACATACGTGCCTCCATATTAAGAAAACATATGGAGAATGTGTATACAACACAGGATAATTCTGAAGGTGGCCATTCCAATCACAAAAGAATGTTTGTCCTTTCAAATAAGTTTTGCCTCACTGTTCCTTTATTAATAAACTCCTTTAATGACCTGTAACAATATTCTAAAAAACACTAAACTACTAGCTTGGGAAGGATAGAAGATAGAGAAATTTAAGGCACAATGTTGACAGTCTTTGGAACCTCCAAAAGTGTAATTTACACAAAAGGAAAAAGTACTACCAAATTGATAAAAAGCAATTTATACCTACCCTTCTGGAAACAAGACTATACCTGTTTGTCTAGCATTTTGCCTAATTTTGAAAGGCTCTGCTAAAGTGGTTTTAAGTACCAATTTTTAAAATAATAAAAAAAGTGTTTAACTTATCTCTTTTTTTAAAGCCGTTTGTAAACTGCCACAGTCAATATATTTTTATTTGCGCTAGGTCTTCTGACCTCCAGTTCCAATGCTTTGTTAGCATGCCACACTACCGCAGTATCTCTTAACAGCTCTTGTCCCAAGATTTTAAATCCCTGCTTGCCATTTTCACGTGGGATGTCAACATGTTTAAATCTAGACCTACCATCTTCTTCCCCACAGCAGCGCCCTTCTTATTAGTTTCCAAAAGTCCTATCATTCTTCCAGTCAGTCATCTCTAACTCCTTTGTCTTTTACCATCCTCCTACCCGAATCTAATCGTCTCTGAAATTTTCTTTAACATTTATCACATTTTTCCTCTTCATGCACTCAACATCCCCTGAACACAGCTTCCTTGTTTCTAAGCTTTCAGTCATATGTATTATTCTTTATCTATCCAAATTCCACCCATGCTTCAAAATCCCAGATCAAATCTCCTCCCTCCAAGAATAGTCCCTGACCACCACCACTGGATTTTTTGTCTTCCTCAAAATTCCCAGAGCACTGTGCCATTCATTTATGGCTTATTTTCATAACCTAGTCCACAGAGCCTTAGCCAGGGCCATATGTCACATTTCATAAAAGAGGGCAATATCTTAAGTTTTTTTCCACACAAAAAATTGGGCTTTTGGCCCCATTCCCACAAGCACAATGTCCTTAAACTATGTAAACTGTTCCCTGACCCTAATCTGTATAATTATTTTACTAAAATACCACATAAATCCACTTTAACTGATATCCTCATTTGTCATATGATATTTGCACATGTATAATATGTGTGATATACATAATGCAAGCACAAATTTAAAATTTTACAATAAAAACTACTATATGCTATATTTAAAATAAGGTAGAACAGGACCTTAAAAGCACGAACTGTTATCATTAATGATCAGGATAAAAATACGTGGGTGTTTGTGCAGGAGGAGAATTTAGGAATGTAAATACCTTCCCCCAAATTCAGAGGCCACTGTGCTACAGGTGTGGCACAGGGCGAGTGTAACAGGACACAATCTAGGTCGCTATGTGGCTCACTGAGCAAATACATGACTAAGTCCCCTTCAAATAGCAACACTGTGTGATCCTGTTGAGAATGTAATGTGCGTAACAGGAAACAGAAAGAATCATACAACTCCCACAACAGGCTATAACACAGACCACAGTGACTCTCAACCAGGCTTTACCTCTTCTGTCTTCACAATGATCCAGACAGGAGTCACTTACTGCTGCTCTCTTGGGCTTTCCAGGCCCCTGTATGAACCTAGTTTTTAACCATCAACTAAGCAGCTTCACCAGAATCTTTCCAAGTCACTTTTTAAACTGCTGCGCCAAAGATTTTAGGGACTGCTGATTCGATTTTAGTCTTTCTTCCTCCTAGGACTGGATGGAAAAAAGCCTGCCCTGATATGAAACATTGCAGTCTTATCTCTAAAAGTTTATAATTGCCAAATATCTCTCACATATGGAAGGCAGAGCTGATTATTTACCAAATGAGAATCCTTTATTATGACAGCATGAAAGGAGAGGACTAATCAGTCTTTTGGTGCCTGTTTACTTGTTTGATAAGACTTGGTCTAATTCACTGTCTTTCCAAACAATTTTTGGTGGTAACCCTCAGGAAGAAATATTTTACACAGAAACCCAGGACACACAGCTATACAAATATGTTTAACAAACGAAAGTTCTGCTTATGACCCACTAAAGTGATTTCATCATCGATTAATGGGCCACGATATGTGGTTAAAAAAAAAAGTTTCTAACACCTGGTCTACCTGGATCCCTAACATATATGTATATTTTTGTAATTAAAAGGGCTCTCCTTTGATTCTAATTTGAAATGCTATGTCCCACACTGTCTGGAGATTTGTGCTTGAGCTGCACAGGGCTCTACACGAAAAACTAACAAGACATTTAACCATGTTTAAAACTAGAAAAACTAAAAATGTGTATTTCACAATAAAAAATAATTTTTAAAAAATCAAATGCATTTCTATATCACAGTAATAAACAAAAATTGGATGTTATAAAAGATGCCATTGACAAAAGCATAAAAATTTTTGATTTAAAAAAAAAACACTAGAAAAATAACAGATAAAAATTTAAAACCTCAGTATCCTCCCACAAGACATGGTTTTGAAACCTACTTTGGTCCTCCACATTCGACTGCAGACGCCTTCACAAATCGAATAGGCTGCAATCCCACTGGCTCAATGCTCAGAGTATTGTTTTCCACAGCCTCCAGGACAGCTGAAGCCAACTTTCAAAAAACAAAAAATATTAGACACTATGCTGGCAGAAAAATATCCAATTTGCATTCTACAGTAAACCTATTTTTAAAATTATTCTTTCCCCAAGTTCCACTAGTTTGGCCTTAGCTAACGAAAAAGAAAGAAACCACATAATATTGCTTTGAACTGTTTTATAATTCAAACATCGTTATGAAAGGCAATTCAGTTATAGCTAAATAACTTTTTTCATTATCTGGAAGAGGATTAAAGGCATTAATTCCAGTCTCTGTTAAACTTTACCCACAATTAACATCCACTGTTAATGCAACTTCAAAATGAATATCCTAATGCTTTATTTTGCTAAATGTATGCAATATTTTTAATACTGACCATTCAAAACACAGCAATATATACTAATTATAGGTTTATATTTTTTGAACTTGTATGTATGAATACAAGAGTGAGTCTACAAAAGAATTAATGGAATTATCAAATATTAAATGCCCAGGTGGAGATGGTAGCAACTGATAAATAACAGATGAAATCAGCAAACTGCTTCAGTCTGGCAAGATTACTAATGCTGAATGGCCTACCTAAAGCCAGGCACAGAACCACAATGAATAACGGATCTTCGTATCAGAAGTGTTTTGCTGCTCATCTTCATTTCCTTTTACAAGTAATGTTATTATTAAATTCTCTAAAGATTTAACGTAAGACCCTTAATTAAGATTAAATCCTTTAGGGGCCTATTAAGTGGCTCAGTTGGTTAAGAGCGCAAGCTCTGAGCAACAGGGTCGCCGGTTCAATTCCCACATGGGCCAGTGAGCTGCATCCAAGCCTAGCTGCCACTGAGCTGCCAACAGGTGGCAGGATGGCTCAGCTGGTGAGGGCACATGCTCCTAACAACAAGGTTGAGAGTTCGACTCCCGCATGGGATGGTGGGCTACACCCACCTGCAACTAAGATTGAACACAGCACCTTGAGCTGAGCAGGCGCGAGCTGCCTATGGGCGGCCGGATGGCGACTGGACTTGGAGCTGAGTTAGCTGCACCCTCCACAACTAAGATTGAAGGACAACAACTTGGCTGTTCCTCTTCCCCAATAAAATCTTTTAAAAATAAAGACTAAATACTTTAAATATTGACAGGATATTTGCAGACAAACCTCCTGTGTGCAAGAAACAACTAAAATTATGACCTTCCAGTTATATAGTGACATATTTTTTAAATGTTTTTGTATCTACTTAATGCACTTCATTTTATCCTCTTAACAATCCTACAGACATAGGCAAGGAAGACATTTTTTCCCCCATTTTGAAGATGAGGAAACTAAATATGATTTTTTATCATGTACAGATAAACCCAACAAACACCGTAGAGGGCAGAGCTTTCCTTACCCTGAACCATGGACTGAGAATCAAGAAAAGTCCTACCCCAAATACATATTTAATCCTTCACTCCAGTGTAACACACACTTCAGTTTCAATGAGCCTCTGCTCAAATAAGGGAAGAAGTTCAATACCTGAATGACAAGAAATTACTACAATCCTAATGTGGAATGGAAAGACTGTAAAACATCACATTTTATAATAACTTATTTATGTAAGATATCCAAATACATAATATGATTTAGTAAAAGGTATAGTAACAACTCTAATGCATTCCAGCTAAAAATTTTTTAAATTACCTCACTTTTTGAGAATGTTAAACATGGGAAGATATCTTCCTGATAGATTTTGTCTAAGAAAGGACACGTTCTGTCCATTGTGGGCTCATCCTTCCAAGATCTGAATTCATTATATAGAGATAAGTCAGCCTGACAAACAAAAAATAAAACATAAAATAACTTTAAAAAAAATACAAACAGAAGATCACTTTATAAGACAAACAATGTAAACATTACTTAAAAAAGAAATACTCATGTAAAATAATAAGTTGAATCATTCTTGATTAGTTGTAATACCTGGTATTCAAATTCCGAAATGATTAACTGCCACTTTTCAATGTATTCACTCTGGTGTTTAATCATGCTATCATTATTCCCCCAAAACTAATGTGGAGTTTCTCTTAAGAAACATGTACATGCACACTGTTCTGAAAATAAAAAATGATGACAAGTCTTTTCTGAAAATAATCAGAAAGTAATGTGGACCCAAGTTAATTAAAATGTTTGAATAAACGGAGACTCACTAAATCGTGAAACCAAAAGTCTGGGGTCAAAAATGACATGAATTAAGGGGGCCAGCCGAGTGGCTCAGTTGGTTAAGAGCTGGCTCAAGAGTTTGAGCTCTGAGCAACAGTGGTTCGATTCCCAGCCCGAGCTGAGCAGCCGCTGAGCTGCCAACAGGTGGCAGGATGACTCAGCTAAAAAAAAAAAAAAAAAAAGGACATGAATTGCTCTGCTCTTATCTGTAGGAATTTCCAAAATGTTTATTGTATAAGCAGCAAGATTAAAAGAAGCATATGTATAAGCCTCCTACACTGACTATCTTAAAATGTAACATTTATTCAGCTATTTTTGGCATATAAACATCCAGGAACTACCTACTGAATGACTAACAATAATCCAGGCTGGCACTTGCCTTCCTAGTCACTCTTCCAGTTGTCCCTCTTTTTCCCTCCTCCCTTTTAACAAGTTTTCCCTAAGTAGTCTTCCCTACAGATTCCCTTGGCCCTGCTCATTACTACCTGTCACCTGCCCTCAGCCACCCTAACAGAGTAATGTTGCATTTCTAAGCCGCTCCTGTCCAGAAGCACTGGGTCCACTAGAAATGATGCACTGACTACAGCTATGGCCTCCAGCACAACTGAACCTTACACGGATGCATAGGGCATCTATATGAGAGTAACACCCAACCTTTCCTACAGGCTTTAAGGTGTATAATGGCAATCTCAATGTAAATTTTTCTCATCCCAATCCATAAATTCCTTGAATCAAAGCTAAGAGCAAAAGGATAAAAGTATTAGCAGATAAGTAATATTTATTTTCAAATTAATTTTCTTTGTCAAATTTACCCTTCAATGGACAGAAACCCCAAAGCAGGTAAGTGGTGTTCTAAGGTAAGGTTCTAGTTTAAAGGCAATAATTTAAACTACTGATATTAAAAACTGACTGTGCCGGGAACTATGGTAAGCACTTCACAAACAGTTAATCCTCACAGCTACGCAAGACAGACAGTATGATCTTCATTTTATAGATAAGGAAGCCGAGGAATAGAGAAATTAAGTTACCCAACGTTAAGAGCAAGAAACCAGGAAAAGTTCAAATTCACATCTAAGTGACTGGACCTCAAAGCCTTGCATAATGCATGTGGGTGTACATGCATGCACATATGTTTTAAATGTTGCAAATGTCATGACTGAATGCCTTCATCGTATTTTCTACAGAAACGTGAATATGTTTCATTTTCTTTTGGACTGTTGTATTTTTTACTAAGACTTACACAGGTCGAATTTATGTGTTTCTTTTGTCTAATAAAACTTTTTGACAAGTTTTTCACAAAACATTAGAATATAGGATGTATCTGGAAATCAAAAAGTTATTATTGTGAAGGTATATACTGCCTATTCATATTTTAAGGGATTTTGTGAACTAAAAACAAAACTTTAAAATGTTCCATGAGAAAACATTTAAATTTTGTTACTGTAAACAATAAGAAAAAGGGTACATAATTACACACACTGAGAAACCATAGCAAAAATACAAGTTGTACCAAGCAATTAAAAATGTTAAATTTGAAGAAATTAAAGTTATGACTTAAAAAAAGTTTCTTAAATATTTAACAGAAACCAATGTGCTTTTTAGATTTTGTTACATTCAGATTTGACAAACTACTGAACTTTTCTGTCACTGACATCTTTTGATAATAACTAAAGAAAATGTAATTCAATTAAAACAGGTAACAACCTTGTATTTTTTGTTGCTTAATTATCTGAATTAACTCTAGGACTACCTTTACTTTTACGCTTTTAACTCTACTTCTCCCAGAATTTAAGTAAAAGTAACACACTGTTCTTCAAGAAAATCGCCTTATTTTTACATATTTCTTACATTCATATTTATTAGAGCAACCTAGCAAGAAATCTTGAATAGCCAGATCCTTAAAGCCACCCACTCTCCTTTATGCAAAGCATGACAATGTGCTCCCTAAATGAAATATCAAGATTAAGAAACTTACCAAGTTTCCAGCAGGTACTCCAAGGTCAGCCAGGTAGAGAATGGAACTGAAGAATCCCTGAAAGCAGCCAGCTCTAGATAAAGCCTACCCCATCTTAATACTGCACATTTTGTACTAAAAATTTTGCTGGCAAAAATCATAACTGACACCTCAGTGAGGAGAATTAGTAAGTATCAACAGAGTCAGAGGGGACAGTCCTTGACGAGTTACCTCTTTGCAGTCTTTTACAATTGGCTGTATCACATTGAGGTCCTGATGACTGCCACTCATAGCACTGCTTGTACTTTTATTTCTTGTATGCCCCCTTTTAAAAGGTGTCTTTCCACCTGGCAGAGGCTCTTGTGTAGGTGATGTTGGAGAACTGGACAATACAAGTGTCTTCAATGCAGCTACTTCAGCTTGAAGTACATCAATCTTGAAAAGAAATCAACATAGTCACATACACTAAATACATTTTATGACAGATGCAGCTTAAGGTTAGCAATTTGGTGAAAAGACTTTCCTTTCAAAGGTGAAATATAAGCTTACTTTGTATTTCCTGTGGAATAATAAAACGAAATTAAAACCAAGCTTTTTTTATGTTTCCATGTGGTTTGGATTCAGTTGCTATTTACAATGTCAAGTGAAATTTTAAAAATTATCAAAATGTCTAACATTTATGTGAATTTTCAAAATCTTCAAAATATAATAGCTTATGATTAGTTGCAGTTCATTCCTAAAATAGTAAAATCTAATAACATGTTGGTAACTTTTTTCAGTGAATTAAGAAAATAAATATTAACTTTAAAATGTGATTATATAATCCTTTTGATAATACATGTGATTCACAAGACTTTGAATCACTGGGTTCTAATATAAATGGATACCAAATGTTCATTATTAATTTTATCTACATTGTAGCTATTTTCTCCTTTATAGTTTCTTATTGTTTCCAAATCTTTACAATCAAAACAAAATCCAATAAGTGTTAAGGTTCCTTTAAGATAGTGATCACTAATTTCTTTACATTTTATACTATTAAAAGCAGTAAAAACTTACTTTTCCTTGTGCTTCTTTCAGCTGTTTTTCTGCTGTTGCCTGTTTGACATTTGCTTCTCTCACCATCTTATGAGCTTCCTGAAAAAGTTAACATTTCAAATTTGGAAACAAAGTATTTAGCATTTATTTTTTAAAATCTTTTGATAAGTGATTGAAACAAAGGCATATTACCAAAATGTAGCCTGAAAGTAAATATTCAATGTCAACTACTGAAATAACAGTTGTCAGCAGACAGGCAAACTATTAGGAATTAGGGATAGGTACCTTCTTTTAGTACCTATTACCACTGAGGCAGGCAAATTGAGTCAATCACTCTAATCCACGATTGAGTAAAGGACTGTGAATGTGATGAAGGAAAATATATGACCCATGTGTCAAACTGAACTTCTATACAGTTAGGTTCTTACAATTTGGTAAAAAAAATAAATAAATAAATAAATTCACATTGTAAGTTACAGCAAAGGCATACATAAGGGAGAAGTAAAAATATTAACATCAATACTGTTTCTTGGAGAACCCTGACTAATCCACCAAGGATGCTAAATGCCTTACAATGTCAACGGTACCCCTATTGAGCAGCACTGCTTGAGTTGAGTAAAAATTTTGGTCCCAATGGCAGGCTGGAGATAAATAGGAGTGCCTGCTAACAAGCAGATGTACCTTCCAACATTCCTCAGATCATCCCTTATCAGACAGATATACAAGGGTTTGACATCTTTGCTGTGGAGCCATATAAAGTTATGCTAAAGCAGCCCCTAAATACTTTGTAAAATCAAAATTTAAATTTACATTTCTTTCCACATATGCTTTTTTAAACAACCTGATACTGGTAGCCCACAGCATCTTTTTCCTTTTCACAGCATTTTAAGTTGCAGACTATATTTCTTCAAAGTTTCATTATTTTCTTAGAGGACTTATAAATTGCATAAAGCTAAGCATATCTTTCTCAAGATTCCCTCAAAAACAATTTTATCAATATATAAAAATCAAGACATTGCTCTTGGCCAAGACGTAAATGGACCAACCTCAAATAGGCTAGCTGTGAGTTCCTCCAATTCCTGTCCAAGTTGATCTCGTACTTTAGAAAGCCTCTCACACTCTTCATCTTTCAACTTCAGTTCCTATGAGAAATTGATCATGTTACTTTGAGTTGCATAATTTGAAGTTACACTCAGCAGACTACATAATCTTTACAAATAAAATTATAAAATTTAATACTATCCCCTCCTAAAAAGTTCACACTGAAAATGTCTATTTAGCACTTGCTAAGTGGAAGACAATCAGGCAAATCTAAAATTATAAATAATTCTACCTCATGTATTAAATGTTCATGTTTCTTTCATAAAAATCCAAAGATTAAATGTGACTGTATATTACATGTGAAAATAAACAATTAAGTGACTTCATTCTTTTTCCCCTTAACTTTTCTCTGAACACATGTATTGCTATCAAGCAAGCAATTTCTTCAATTATGCTTACTCATTTCAATAAGTTTAGTGGATTTTTTCCCATGTTTACTTTTTTTTTCTTTTAAATTGGAGAACTGAGGGAGGGGAAGTGTTGGGAATTGGGGAGGGGGACCAGCCAAGTTGTTCTTCAGTCTTCGTTATGGAGGGCGCCAGTTACACCATCTGGCTGCCTTTCGGCAGCTCATGGCCTCTAAGCTCAAAGTGCTGAGTTCAATCTTAGTTGTGGATGGGCATAGACACCATCCCATGCAGGAGTCGAACCGGCAGCCTTGCTGTTAAGAGCGCACACTCTATCCACTGAGCCATCCAGGTGGCAGCTCAGCTCAAGGTGCCAACTTCAGTCTTAGTTGCGGACGGGCGTAGTCCACCATGGAACAGGCAGTCTTGTTGTTAGGAGCACGTGCTCTCCCAGCTGAGCCATCCTGCCACCTGTTGGCAGCTCAGCGGCAGCTCAGCTCGGCCGCAGCATCACTGGCCCATGTGGGAATCGAACCAGCGGCCCTGTTGCTCAGAGCTCGCACTCTTAACCTAACTATTAACCAATTGAGCCACTCGTCCGGCCCTCCATCTTTACTTTAAAAACTGTGTACTTATTGATAACTTTATGTACCATACTGTAATTACTCTAAAATTTCGATTAGGAGACTATACCATTTTAACACAAACCAGAGGCAAGCGATGCATTTTTGCATTTAAAATTAAGGTTAACAACAAAAAAATCACATCCTACATTTATACATGATTCCACAACAAGTCACAAATAGATGTTAAGAAATTCCTATATTAAGATGTTACAAATATGCAATTTTACATGTTGCCCTAAATTAACCTTTCAAACGTCTAGATTAAAAAAAAAAATCCAAGCTCCTTACATACTGGTCACAATTACACTAATGAAATAATAGGTTAGTTGTGTTACAATTGTGGTGGCAGCATAGTTTTTGAATCCCCAAGGACAATTCCTGGGGGAATATACCAACTGGGATATCAGAGAACCCAGTGACTACATCTTCAATACAACTAGATAAAAGAAAATCCCCTCAAACCTGAGATTATGAGAGACTGTGGCTACATGCATGCTCAACATGTGTGGAAGGGAGCAGCAGGACATGAAAGGACTACAGAGGTGTCCTGCAAAACCTCAAAACCCAAAAAGTCATTACAAACATCCTAAAAGGAAAGAATCCTACCCTTGGTGGAAAATGGGAGAACAAGTCTGAGAACAAACAGGAGAAAAGAGAAAGTTTTTCACAAGCTCCAAGTTGCTGGTGAGTGCAAAAATCTGTCCTGAGACAGCAACCAGTACTGTGAAGCTCTAAACTCTCAGGAATCTCAAAGCATCCCAGCAAAGAAATCGTTCCAGGACAGAGCTTCACACTAATGGAAAAACTTGTAATTTGAAACCAAATTGCAGGATAGGAATAATGGAAATAGAGAGAGAAGGTTCAGATATTAAAGGAGGAAGGTAAGTGGCAAAGTTCCAAAGGAAACAGACTGCAGAAAGTACTGTAAGGAAAAATAAATATCTTATATTAATAAGCCTACAAAGCTCGCAGAAACACTGGGCTAGAGGAGAAAAATCTTCTTGAATGAGGCTTACCTCTGAGATACAGAAGTGGCTACACAGATATACCAATAATAATAGAAGGGGAATCCCTTGAACATAAAGCTGAGAAAGCTATTCTGGTTTATCCTATACTTTCAAAGGAACCTCCTAAAAGTCCAGGGAAATTCAATTCATTTAAACATGGAAAACAAACAAACAAAAATATGTGAAGTTGTCAGAATAAAAAAGTTCAACAAAAGCCAAGTCACCTATAAGGGAAAGAAAATCAGATTGATATTAAACATCAACAGCACTTTATGCTAGAAAACAATGTAGTAACATTTTTAAGATACTCAAGGAGAAAAAAAAATGTGAGATGAAGATACGATATCTAGCCAAAGTATCCTTCAAGTGTAAGGCCAGAGACAGAGAGTTATAAACCTGCAAAACTTCAGAGAATATTTTTCCCATGAGCGTACCTGAGTGATCCAGTGAAAAACGAGTTTCAGATAATCAAGAAAAAACTGAAGAAGATTTAATATTGAAGACTGGGGATGAGAATCAAATATTTAACTACAGAAATACAATTAAAAGACAGGGAGGGATATCAAGAGATGAAAAGACAAACCAAAGGGTGGAAGGAAATATTTTCAAAAGACATAATCCGATAAAGGACTTTATCCAAAATACACAGAGAATTCTTAAAACTCAACAGCAAGAAAACAACCTGATTACAAAATGGGTGAAAGACCTGAATAGACACCTCACCAAAGAAGATACATGGAGGTCAAATAAGCACATGAAAATATGTTCCATATTACATGTCATCAGGGAAACACAAATTGCAACAACAAGCACCACTATATACCTAATTAGAATGGTTAAAAACCAGAACATAGACAACACTAAATGCTGGCGAGGATGGGGAGCAACCAGAACTCTCCTTCATAGCTGGTGAAAACGCAAAATGGGACTTTTGCATTTTGGAAGTACTTTTGCCACTTTGGAAGACAGTCAGCAGTATTTTACAGAACTAAGCATACTCTTACCATATGATCCAGCCATCGCACTCCTTGATAGTAAACCAAAGGAGTTGAAAGCTTATGTCTACAAAAAAACCTACACTCAAATGTTTATACATTACTAATTGCCAAAAATTGGAATCAACCAAAATGTAGGTGAATGGAAAAAAAAATTCAGTAGGTGAATGAATTGTGGTACATCCAGGTGAAGGAATATTACTCAGTGCCAAAAGAAAATAAGCTACCAAGTTACGAAAAGACATGAAGGAAAATGCATTATTACTATGTAAAACAATCCAATATGAAAAGGCTACATACTGTATGATTCCAACTATATGACACTCTGGAAAAATCAAAACTAT